TAATACGAGTTGCTCCAGCTGATAAGGTGTCCTTTTGAATAATGCAGACAACAAACTGACAGTGATAAGTTAAACTTAAGCTTAGCTGCTACAGTGTGGCTGGAGGAGCTGCATATTTAGTGCCCTCCCCCAAAACACACAGACACACTCTGCCTCGTAACGGCAGCCTCCACCAGGACAATTTCTCTGCCGGCTGTAGCTCCACAGCAGTTTCCTGCCAATTTACACGACTGTAATCATGTGACAGACCCGGTCAGACTGAGGCTGTGCTGAACTGGACTGTGAATGCAGCAGGGCAGAACATGAACAAAAAGATCACATCTTGTGTTTTTTGTACAAAACACAAAGTCCCAGGAATCTTCTCTATCGTCTGTCCTCACTGGGGACATATGAGCAAACGCCGGGCTAGGAAGCATTTTCCGCTGATAAACAAACTCTAGTGTTATTTTTCGGCTTTAAAACAGTATGCTGAGCTGACGTGCTGGGACACATGGTGTTGCCACAAGTGTTGAACTTATGTTGGACTCAGGTGGCATCGTGACCGGGGTCTGACTCATCGCTGCAGCACCGGACGCTCCAGACTTGTGGTTTAAACACCCGACAATGCGAGGCATCCCACTCACTGATAATTACATTTAATACTGGTGTCAGCTGTTGTGAATCGGCATCACAGCAAATAAAATAAATATAATTCTTGATAGACCTCAGCTTGCACTCCTACCACAAGCAAGTGGCAAGACACTACAGCTGTTTCTCGTGGGCTGGTGCCATAAATCTCTGGTGAATGGCTGGTTTAAGGCTTGGTGCTAAGGAGCAGCTGTACCCGTCTAAAAATAGCAGCAAGGCTGCTGCCGGACAGCGTGTTTTTAAAGCTCAACATGCAGTTTAGCACAAAGAGCCTATCAACAATACCTTCCACCTGCATTAGCCTGACTGCGGCCTGGCATCAGCATTACAGTGCAGGAAGTGACTGACTGTTGTGCAAACTGAACGTCCGTGCATGTCACTGTGTCTGACTCACACACCCAAACAACGGCCAGATCCTGACCGCATAATTCAGACACACTTTATTTTCCAATGAGCTGAACATTCATTATCAGTGTGTCGTGGCCTGAGGCAGAACGCTCCCTCCTCAGTGTAGTGACAACCACCGGCCGCCCTGATGGAAAACAAGGCCAAGATGGCACAGCAAACACGAAATCATTATGACAGGCACAGTTCAACAAAGTAGGACTCAGCACACTAAGCACATTTTATCAGTGTTTTCTTTAAGTCAGGTTCTTTCTCTAAATTAAAGAACACACTGAAATTCCTGCACCCAGTCCTGCTTGTTCGGACTGATAATTAAAAGTGTGGGTGCACATACATGAGCGTGTGTGTATTTGGGCGCACACACCTGTTTGGGTGTACTGTAGGGTAAATGTAATTGCTAAACACGGAGGCTGGCAGTGTTTAGAGGTGCCAAATTGCACCTCTGGGAGTCACTATAGCTCACAATCTGACTAATGAAGGCCAAGTAATCAAGCTTCAAACTCATCAACCATGTTTGCAGTAATTAAAAGGTTTATGCTCAGCATCAGGAGAGCCATTCCACTCTGTCAGTCAGTGTCAGAAGCCAAACCTGATGTTTTTTACTTCCAGAAAGCTGCAGCCAAAATCTGAACATTTGACACAAATTCAGCTGCTCTGATTGTTCATTCACTTAATATGATGATAAAATGTCGTAACAAATACGAACGTAACAAATCACGCTACAGTTGGAAGCCCTGTCTGTGCATTCACACCCAGGCACCGAGGGAGCCAACATAAATGTACACAGTGATGGATATAAATCCGATAATCAGTTGTATGACAAGCACTGTGTGTCGGCGTCATCCTGATCTATTCTGTCCTGTGGGACGGTGGGAGTGGGCTGTTAGTGTAAAATACTGCCATCATATTACACACACCCTGACCTTCAAATCTACATTTTTTCGCGCTCTAAAAATTACAAAACATCCCAAAAAAATAAACACATAATGAAAATTCACATTTACATCCCTTTGGCATCCAGCATGTACTAAAACCCTCTAAAACAAAACATCACTGTTGTTGTCCCTGGTTCTACACAGCTGCAGTTCAAAAGTTGTTTTACATCTCGATGGATGTGATTTGTCATTATGCATTTTGCATTATTGTGCTGACTAACCGGATTAGGCTTCAACATAATATTTGGTGGGATATAAAGTTACACCTTCTGTCAGACATGCTGACATCCACAATGATTGTACCCAGCATGCAGCAGGAGAGGTTGTGCCACAATTCTCCGGGGACCATATGTGACCTGAAGAGGACATCAGACAGTGGCGCTTTGTCCACCTTCACTCAAAAATGAAAATGATACAGTTAAAGATGGTGTGAGACAGCCACCAGAATTAATCTGTAACACATGCATCTGAAATCTGGATTAAATTGTGAAAATTCAGCAAAGTCTTTGAGGTGAAAAAGACTGATAATGGTACTGTTTCAGTCAAAGAAATAAATCTTTGGTATTTCCAGAGTTCCAGCACTGTGAGGCGACTACAGCAGGACAAGCCGAGGGGAAACAAGTGAGCATGTTTTAGCTGAGGACAGGGCTCTCTCTGCTGGCTGAGTCCTGCTACTGTCACAGCTGATGCTCATCACAAGTGGGATCCCAGTAAATGTGTAAAAACAGGCAGTTTCTTTCAAGGAAAAAAAAAAATTAATTAAAAAGTCAATGACAGTTTTTTAATTGTCACATGTGAAGTGGAATGTGTGAGCTTCTCTGTTTACCAGTGAGCCGAGCCTAATAGGCGCAGACTGTTGTGTTGTGGATCCCCCACTGCTTCCATGATTGTGCTTTGTGCTTTGCAGCAGCCAATTACAATCACATACCATTCTCTCACATATTACCACCATTGTATTTACTTGTAGATCAATTCCCTTCAGCTACATGGTTTTACATAATGAATGCAGAGGCTGCTGATGTGTTTGCCTGCTAGGAGATGCACACACCTCAGCAGGGGCCGCTGAGGGCCTACTGTTCTTCCCTCACTGCCATATAATAGTTTGAAGTGTAGGCTGTGTTATGTCTGAATGATTATAATGTTTTTAAATAAATCGTTGTTGTATTCAATTATGATAAAGCTTTATTTTGAACTTTTAGTACATTTCTCCGTAAAACAAAAGCCTTAAGCTAAAGTTAAGTTTTTACATACAATACCAAACAATACCAATATGGCTGAAACTGCAATTAACCAATCATTTAATTGATTGATACTGGGTAAGCCATCTTTGCGGGTCATTAATTGGAACAATGGATAAATTAGTGGTGGAGCACAAACACACCTAAATGTACTTTACATATCAAATGTAAAAGTACTCGTTGTACTCTGCTGTTTATGCTCTGATGTCTAATAGGCCAAACAGTTCATCTATTAATCAAGAAAACAATCAGCAGATTAATGAGCAAAATCATTTGTTGCAGCCCTGATCAGCTTATAAAATCTTACTGTGTACAGTAACTAGGAATTATAAATGTCTAATAAATGTAGTTAGTCGGTTAGTAATGTTAATATAACATGAAAATACTATAATAATAATACAAATACCTCAAAAATTACACTTAACTACCACCACTGTGATAAATTGCCAATAAACCATCTCAGAAATGATCACTGAATTGATTTTGAGAAGTACTATTATAAAACATACAGAAGCAATAAGTCTTTGTTAAATGTTTCAAAATATCGGTGATATTAAATGTAACTGAGTGTCAGAAGTGAAAATACTGTTATTCTGTATTCTGTATTATGTTTCTCATGCAAAGAAGTGCTCCATCATCAATTAGTTCACCTACAGTAAACTGATATATGAACACGACTGTCAAATCATTTCCCCTTTCTGTGTTAAATTCACTGCGTCTCTACTTGTGTTTAACTATTTGTCTGATAAATTGTTTGGTAGATAGTAGACTGTTTTAAAACGGGATCTCATGTTTTGCATAGTTGATAAACTTAACCATGAGCTAATAATTTACTTCAGCTTATTAGTTAACTGCAGTATTATGTGACTCTTCATGTGTACGATCATTTGATCACCGTGTTTCCTGTTTTCCATCATGTTCTGAAACCACATCCAAAAGGTCTCCTTCCTTTGTCAATAAAGCTATCTACATCTTGATATGGAATATTTACACCTCTCATCCTGTCAGTGTAGTTCAACGTTAGTCACGTAAAGCTCAGTGAGTAATACATTTATAACCGAGGGAATTCACCGCGCTCCTCACTAGAGCCAAGACATTGACTTGTTTTGATACACAGTGGGACCTTTGTGCTTGAGCGTGTTATGAAGGCTGAAACACTGCTTGTGCCACGCCCAGCAGCACATGGTGTCCATCTAAAGTCCATGATTCACTTTATGTGGAGATTCGGAATAACTTCAAAGTAGATTGTTGCTAATATGTGCATAATATATAATGTATATAGTACACACAAATGCCAATCCTCTATATGACTGCTGCATAAATAACAGCTGTTCTTGTCTTTTAAACCACAACTTGTTGAAAGTGCATCTGTGTGGAAAATAAATATAAAACATAATATAACAGCAAGGAATCTGCAGTTATAACCTCCTATCAGGAAGTGTTCATTTAGCATTCATCCTGATCTATGCTTGTAATCGGTGACAGAGCTTTTCTTCTACCAAATTCCCCCTGAACGGGGACTGTGATTGGCTACATAATAGGCAGAGGTGCCAGTTTCACGGATGCCAAACTAATTGCACAAAGGCACGAAGCGCAGGTGCTCATTCCCTTTGTGAAGTCACTTTGGAGTGGTTTGCTTCCTTGTGCATCCTGAAACTTGTGAACAAATATTTTCGAACACCTTCCTCAGGAGGATTCGATTGCAGTTTAAACTACAATCAGGCTAAAATGGAACACAAAGGGTGCATAATTAGGAGTGAGAGGGTGAGAACAGACAAAAAAATAAGCCTTCATCTAGCAAAATACTACTTTATTTATTAGCAAGGCACAGTGTGAGCCAGTTGCTCTCTGGAATGATGATCAGATGCAGTTACAGCAGCCAAATGTGATTTAAATAAGCAAAACAGCACTTCAGTGCATTTTCACTCATACTACAGCAGATATCATCCAGTCTTAACTTCCACAGCACTAAACCATGTCTTTGGTCAGAATTCTTATTTGAAAGACATTAGTGTCAATTACAATCAGGTATAACCATTTCACCAGAATTTGCTTCCACATGGACAGGGCCCAGCATGAAGAGGACAGAAGTGGGCACTGCAGAAAAGAAGACCGAAAGAGAAAAGAAAAAATTCTACTGCAAAAGCCAAAAGCATTTATCTGAAACAGAAGATCCACTAGAAAGCTCTCAACAGCTCTTTGCCCACCACCCTCCATCACTGAAATCCCCAAAGACAAACTAGTGTACACATCTGGCTCTTGGCCATGTGCCCATGCCCGCACTTTCAACAAGCAGTCTGGGGTTTGGGTCCTGCTCCCTGTCTCTGTGTGCCCTCTGCCCGCTGTGAGCGCCAAGCCCCTGAGTCATGTTGGTGACGTCTGCTAGCTCCCGCCTCTGGGACAGGGTGGTCACCATGTGTTCCAGCTTGGAGCGGATGGCGGAGTAGTGGTGCTGGCGTTCTTTGGTCAGCTTGTGGAAACAGTCCTTTAAGGTGCCATCTGGAGCTGCCTGGGTGGGCAAGATCTGCCTGGACGACGTAAAGAAGGGAGAGGTGGCCTGGTTTGGTCCTGTGGCTGTCTGTGTGATGAGGCTGGGGTGTTGTGCGAGCTGCAGGTCAGTCTGGGTGTCACTGTCCCTCACTGAGCTGTCGGTCTGAGTGGTGGCGTGGCAGGAGTCAGTGCTGGGGGTCACTTGTTCTTTCTCTGGCAGCTGCTCTGCAGGGAAACGCTGAGTCGTGCTACCAGCCAAGATCTCCTCCTGCATGTGCTGCTGCTCCGCCCAGTCCTCACCTATGGTGGAGGAGTCAGACACTGGGCTGCTTTTACAATGATCTGGAGCTGAAGGTTCACGCTTGCGGCTGGGCGTGCTGGTCAGACATGCTGGCTCCACAGACCTCTCTCTGGCCAAGTGAGGGGAGGAGGTGACTGAGTGTTTGATGAGGAGGTGCTCATAGATGCCGCTGTTTCGGACACTTGGAGGTCCTCGAGTGTTTATAGGCAGAGACTGGGCATAGAGGATGCGGAACTCCTCGTCAAACTTCTCTGTTATCTGGCCGGAAAGCTCGATGAGGTTGCTGCTGTTCAGTTTGCCATCGGTCCAGTTGAACCTGCACAGGAATAGGATTTAACAACATGCATGACTGACTGTCCGTTACACTAGGAGGAAAAGTGTGCTACTTTACAGTCTGGAAAAGTTGGGACTTCCATGCTACATAATAGCCAGCTGAAGAACAGTGTGTGCTGCTTGACTTTAGGTGAAATGGTTGGCAGGCTGTTACCTGTAGGAACCTGTAGCTACTCTGTTTCCATCAATCAGCATAAATCTCTCATGAACTCTCCCAGTGATCCTCGCTCCGGATCTCATGTAATAAGTCGTACCGGTTATGGTTCGCACTTTCATTTGCTGTAAGGATTTAAAAAAAAAAAAAAAAAAAAGAAAGAGCAGGAGTGAGAGGTAAACATGGATCCGCCCAGTCACACCAAATCTTCAGGACATATTTTAATTTGATGGCATCTCACTTTCATGTTGTGCACACAGAGCCACACCCAGCTTTACTGAACCAACCACATACCCGAAGGTCATCCAGGCAAACGTTGACATTTCTGCACATCTTGAGAAAAGCGGGAGCGCATGATTGGTCCAGCAGGATGTACACAGGGACTCTGCGTCTGGAACATGCCTCCTGAAGATCCTTAAAGATATCCAGGTCTGTCAGGGAGTCTGTGACTATGGCAATCACCTGCAGTGGAAAATTACAGAGGTAATATAATAGAATTCCTTTTAGGGCTGCAGCCGTGCTCTCCCAGATGTAGCGCATGATTGTGTTTTCATTATTATCAAATGCAAGGCCTTATTCAAACAGAGCTGCGAATCTCTGTCAGACACACTCCCTGTAATGTGTGTGCTGATGAGCTTTCTATTGACTGTGGTCTGTTACCATGGCAATCGGCAGTAACGCTTGGTCAGCAAACAAATGACTTTTATACAGGAGACAAGTAGGCATGCTGTAGGGCTTGCCTTCAGTTTCCCGAGCTTTGTTTTGCACTGAGATTTCTCTTTTTCGCGAGGAGGAATGGAATTTCAGATGTTGTGGTAAAGGTTGTGTGTGGAGGATTAGACATGGATGTTTACATATCTCAGATTTATTGCTCCAAACTGGTGTTATCCACATGCAGCTTTGTCAGGAGTTCCCCACCTTATTTGGATGGCAGCGTCTGGCTGCTTATTTTTAGGAAAATCTGTAAAACCAGGGTTCAATTTCACAGAAATACAGGACCAGGCCGTTTCTGTGAGCCGACCAGTGTACACACACGGTGTGCCGTTACAGTCAGTGGCTTCAGTGTACAATAAAGACTGTGTGCAGTGGGCGGTTTAACATTACAAAAGGACAGACGATCTCTGAATGAGAATATTTTTTCTAAGGTTTCAACTGGCTGAAAGCCAGAAACTGGTTGTATATATCACCATCTTTTAGCTGTAAGCTAGAGAAGAAATCCAGAGTTTAAAGCTCTCTAATGAAAGAGAGAATGCAAACTTTCATGGAGGGAAGCAAAGCAAGTCGAGGCACATCTGGTACGCAGGCCCTACACAGGCCTGAGGTGCTGCTGAAGCCGCAGACTCCCTTCACGCTCCTCATGCAGGAATGTTTCTTTTCAAAACCAGAGGCTGGACTGACAGCTCCCATCAGGAACATCTCCATGAATTTTCATGCTGTTTTTCTTTTGGTGTTTTTTTGTTTTATCCTTTGGTCACTGCTTTCACTCTAATCAAGATTCCAAAAACCTGAACTTCTAATATTCAGATGATCAAGGAAATTCCATGGGGACACTATGGCATGTATTTTAAGGATGATTCAAAGAAGATTTAGAGCTTGAGTTTTCCCTCAAAAATCTTTTTATATGAGACTATACACACACACACACACACACACACACACACACACTCAAGTCACAGTTATTTTTTTGGTGGGAGGCCTTTTTGATTAAATATCAATTTGAATTGACACACAGCCAAAATAAAGGTACTGATGTAGGATCTCTAAACAACAACTACACAAATCCACATTGTATCACTGTAGCCTTTAGGTCTGGAAAATACTGTAGGATTATTACACTGTGAAATAATGGGGGGTTAGAAAATACAAAATTAAACTAAAACTAGTTATTATATTATTATAAAGCTGAGAAAAAATACTGACACAACATGATTTCAGTGCCTGCAGTGTAGAATTTTTTAAAGGAAATATGATCAGTTGGCAGCTTATGAGGAATCGTAAAAGATAATTATTATGAGACACTTCTTGTCGTCGTGCATACCTCTCTGGCACTTTTAATCATACGCCTGGCAGCCTCCTTGCAGCTGTAGATGCACTCCCCATAGCTGGGCTGGAAGTGCGCCACGGCCCGTGTGACTCCCCGGTACGACCCCGCGGTGAAGGCGGGCCAGCCCATCTCCAGCAGCGGCGGCTCCACGTCCGACACCTCGGGGAAATAGGTGACGGAGGAGCAGTCCAGGGAGCTGCTGAGCGACTGCTCCAGCGCCTGGTCCTCCCCGTGAACTGACACGCACCGCGGGGGCACGGCGGTGCCCCTGATCCCCTGGATCTCATCGTCAGACAGAAAGTTGGGGATCCTCTCTTTTCGGAGGAAGTCCAGAAAGTTGTCGAGCCCTCCGGACAGCAGCTCCTCCAGAGCCAACCGGTGTCTCTCGTTGTAGACCTCCTGCAGGTCCAGGTCTCCGGCCCCGGTTTGTTTTGGACCCAATCTCAGAGGTGAGTCTTCGAGGCACTGTGACAGAGCCATTGTTGTGGCTATTATTCCCACTTTACCTTCGACAGACTCCAGTGCCCCGCTGGTGGCAGGTAACGGCTTGACCTACAAGAAGACAAATTCGTATTTTGTTGTTTCCCTCCGTTCCTGTAGGTCGTTGATGCGTATTGGCTGCAGCACAGTTGTTAAACCTGAATGGCGTCTCGCGGCTCGCCGAGTCGGGCTGTCAGTCTAATGTAAAGCCGGTCTCATTGGCTCGTTTGGAGGCAAACAAGCCTCCTGCTCAGCCTCCTGCTCTGCCCTGATCCGGTTACACCGCAGATAGCAGGGAAGGCCAGAACTCTCACTCTGACACTTTTTCCTGAGACCACGGACGTTGTGATTCCTAGCGAGCATTTCTTTTAAAAACTGTAATCGTCTGGCAGGAGTGTCTCTGTAACTTAAAAGGAAAATAAACACGTAGACAGCAATTCTCCGTGTCCGCCTGTCACCTGTCACTGTGTGGAGAGCTCGTGAAGCTGTTGGCAGTCACGAGGAGCACCGCTTTCTGTTTTATGGTGTCAAGCAGCACATTTCCCACTAAGCCTGAGCCAGTGGCCCGCAGTGTTTGAATGCACGAAGCCAGTAGCTCATCAGTAGTCTGGTTTGTTTACAGAGTTGAAGTGGTTCAGCTTTTACTGTAAAACGCCTCCAGACTCGGGGAAGTTTACACTCAGGCCTAGTCAGCACTCAGGCCTCATGATGTCAATGTCCACATTTATCTCAAAACCACATTTTTAAAGACGTGTTAAAATAACAACAAAGACTTCATCCACTGTCAACAATGTTCAGATGAGACACGGTCACAGAAAAAGTGTTTGTTAAAATCTTATACCGGGAAAGATCCGGTCAACAGTTTGTCACCTTTGTAAATCAGTGCGCAAGGTGCGCAAACTGCAGGTAACCATAGCAACTGTAGCTCTGCTGGATGTTGCACGTTAGGTAGCAGATTATAACTCAAAGAAACGGACCAGATATAATAATTATGAACACCACGGCGCGTCCGCCTCGACCGGTCCCGCTGTCAGGCTCATTTACAAACCGTTTGAGCAGCAAGAGTGCTGAAGATCTGTCAAGTGGCTTCGGTGACACCTGTGGTAACAGTCACTCACATCGAGTACCCTTCTGCTGCTCAACTACATAACCTCTTTTTTAGCCTAAATTTGCAGTATCTACTGTTCCTTAAAATTTAGATGTTGAAAATAAACTGTTAAACTGCAGCACTCAGGTTTTTATTTTAGAATATAATCCAGAGAAAAATGTTCAGTGCATTATTTTGGGACAGATAGTGTCCTAATGGGCCAGAGAGGCAGATCCACATTGCACAGAGGAGCAGTGCCTCAGTGGAACCTGACAATAGCTCAAACCTCCACACCATTGTCCATAAAACAATGCAAACACTATAAAACCTATAAATACAAGAAAAGTTCAAATTTGTCATATTTGAGTTAAACGTCTTTGAATCCCAGTACTACAGCAAGTCATGCACTACAACACGTCTGCTGACCGGAAGCACAGGCTGGGTTTTTGTTTTACTATTGAGCGATTCATCTTCCTGATAGATAATCTTTGTTTTTCCTGACTGTACACAGCCACAGCTAAAGGCAACGTCCGAACTCCGTCAGGACACACTGGAGGGGAAGAGTAAATCCATGTATCTCCAATACTGGAGGTCTGTTGGGGCCCTATATGTTCATACATTACAACAGACAATGAGGGTGTTATATTTATGTATATTTATATCTTGATGTTCAGGTATCTGTTACACATCACATAATGTCTAAATTGGTTATATAGTATCTTTCTAAGCAGACATGATATAATGTGTCCATAGTATTCCGTGGCTTTAGAATGGACTTATCATACTACTATTATTTCTGCATTATTACCACAATATTTATATTTCTCTCATATGTTTTTTTTAGTTTCATTCAAAAACATAATTCCAGCCTTTTTCTATTAGACCCTCACTCCATACTTGTCTCCGTCAGTTTTGCGCTTTTACGCACAGAAGGCCAACAAGGTCATGTGGGTCACAGCCATATATAAACCACACATACATACATACATACATACATACATACATACATACATACATACATACATACATACATACATAGATATATATATACACACACACAACAACAACACATAACTGGTAATTTGATTAAAGGGAAAATGTGGTCTTATGTTTAAGTATAAAAATGGACATGAACAACCAGGCCACATTCCATACAGTACATAAATTGGTCTACCACTATTACGCGTGTGCGTAAAAGTCTATTTTAATTCTTTAGGCTAATAGGCCTGTGCTTTAAATGACAATTCCCAAAACGATTAATATTCATAGTAGCCCATCAAGAGATCTTTTTTTCTAAAGACGGCAGCCATCAATTGAAAAAGACATGTGACCTAATTAAGAGGACCTTTTGGGTGATGAAGCTCACTGAAATGGCAGATCACTGAACTCCTGTCAAAACCCCGAATTTACACAATACAATCCATCTGTTCAGGCTGTTCCGCGGCGCCATTGTAACTATGTATAACCCAATCTGTGAGAGCACTGCCTTACCCCTATAACGACATACCCAAATGTGCACTGGGCTCAGTATACGTACCCCCCCCCCCCCCCGCCCCCCCCCCCCTCCCCCCTTCCACCAACACAACAAACAACCAAAACACACACACACATCTTCATCTCATCCCCGCCCCTCTCCAAAATTTTAGATGAAAGGGCTTTTGGATTTTGGATGACGCTCCGAATCACGTGTTCATAGGAAATACACTCGCTTTAATTTTTTTGGAGCTGCCTCGTCCTGCACCGCCGACCGTAGTTGTTTTGCCGTCTCCATACAGTGTGGCTGAGGGGTGGAAAGGTAATGTAATGTAATGTACCTTGCCGTGGTCACTGACGGGTTCACGCCAGTTCACCGGGTTCACTTGAGGAGAGCTCCCACCCCCTGCTCGCCTCCTCTTCTTCTCAAAGCGCAACGATCGGAGCTAATCCAATATTATTCATTTATATATTAATGTCGGATTCCATTTTTCCCACCGACTGTTGAGGTAAGGACACATCTACTCTTCCAAAACGCGAATAGCTCTCATTATTGGCGAGGTGCGATCTCCAAAGTTGTTTACTGAAATTATGTCTCGCTATTGAATATTGAATTTTCATCTGGTGCTGTAGTCAAGGCAGTTTATATGAAGTCGCCAATGTATAAAATGGCGACAGTAGGTGGAGGAGGGGGGTGGAGGATTTTTGGGAATATTCATAAGGTTATATAGAGTGCCAGATCGCCTTTGGCAAGTAGGCAGCGAGGCAGTGTGTTGCCCCACAGCCCTGTGAATGGAGTGAAACGGGTTAACTCGTCAGTTTGTTACAGTTACAACAACGGATCCTCCGTCTGGCTGAATTTGCGCTCCTTCTCGCGCTATACAGTGTGGCGTATCTGCTTATTTTATTGCACAACGCGCTGTATTTCCCCGCTGTGCTGTGAGTGTGAGTGCTTTTAGTTGTGAAAGACTTCTGAACAGAGTGCTATAGCAGGCTTATCGACTGGTATAAGAACCCTCCGAGTCCATAGATATTCAAACTGCACGCCAAGTATCAATTTTCATCTATTGATCGCTCACTCTCTCCAATTTTCTTCCTCTTGCCAGAGCAGAAAGGTAGGCCTGTATCTGTATGCACAGGACTTTTTCTTTCATTTCCTCCTCTTCCTCCTACCAACATGTGCTGCTGCCCTGCTCTCACACACACACACACACACACACACTGGGACATATACAGTACAGTAAGAAGCAGCTCATTTCAGACATTTTGCAAACTGTGGATTATCACTGAGGCATTAAATGAAAAAATATCAGTTCCTGTACAGTCACATTTGCTATGTGTACATAAATATTGACCCAGCTTTGAATGCCATGTGTCTCCCTCTGCCTTCAGGGGAGGGACCTCTGAGCTGACTAACGTTGCCTCTGTGGTTCATGTGCGTGTCCAGTGTCCATAGCACAAGAGACAACCCCAGATTATTCAAGCAGCTAGTTAGAGAAGCATGGATCAGTGGCAAGTTTTGGAATGTATTTTAATTATTTGACCATGTAAGCTTGTTACATATAATGTAGGTCATGGAAATGACTGTGCAACACTTGTGCCATTGTGTTCCTGAGAGAGTAGGTGTTTGGTCTGTGGACAGTGTCTCCGAGCGTGGAGTACAGTCCGGTCTCCAGTGGACATTTCTTCACTCCGATGGTTAATTTGCAGGCGTGTGTGATGACCGGCAAAACAAAGGTAAATGAGCTCTCGCTGTGCAGCTCCAGCAGACTGGGTTCAGCTTGGCCCGGTGAGTTCAGCGTGTGTGGAGTTTTTCGCTCCAGCAGGACGCTTACACTGGGGGAATGTCAATTCCCTTTGTGGATCCCTGGGAACGGTCTTCCATCTCCCTTCTCGGAACTGCTCTAATGAGGCCAGGCATATTGCCTTTCATCCCTCACTCCCTGCAATTAGGCACAGCTCACAGTTTTCGTTATGGCCACAGCGGACTGTTTGTATACACAGGCACAATGTAGTGAGCCAAGAGTGCCCACTCCCCTCTGCAAAACAGTGTCTCTTGCACATGCCACTCCTCGTATACCTGGAGTGTTGTACTCTTCAGGATTTGGTGTTCTGATTTCTAACAGCAGCCACTGTGGATGTTATGTTTGTGTGTGCCTCCCACAGCTCAAAATGAATCCCCTGCCAGAGAATACCGAGGAAGGTCATATGGTCATGATTTGCAGATTTAGCTGACATGGAGTGTATAACATTCCTTGAGTTCAGAGGAGAAAATCAACTATCTAATGCCAACCAGATCTATTTTCCAGCCGTTTTTATACAAACAAGCATTCATGATAGCAGCATACCTCATGGTCCTCACAGACAATCCTCTGAAACACAACTCCGAGCCCCATTTTTCCCACCAGAAAGGACGGCATTCTATACAAGTTCACTTTTATTTGGGTCTTTCACCCTTTTTGGTATTGCTTTTGTCATCGGACCAATGCCGTATCGAAGCCCAGACCGTTCAAAAGCCTCACTAAAACAGCATGTTTGCACAGTTCCGACCAAAAGAAACGCCTGTGCACTGACGGGGGGAAAAAACCTTGGGGCTAGTGGGGAAAGAGCCCCTGCCACTTTCTCTGTCCCATGCAAGAAAGGTTTGGTCAGCAGGAGCTGGCATTTGCCAGGCTTTGGCAGTTAGAGGAGGCTGTGATGTCAGCCATTTTAGGATGGACACTACAATGTGCCGTATGCCGCCATCTTTCTTCCTTTTCGTCTTAAGTTGCCAAATGAATGCCTGTAGTCTTGGCTACAGAACTGAAGAAGTTATTCATCAAAAGTGATGTAAACGGATGCATGACTCAGAGTTTTTTCTCTGCACACCATGGTTTATTTGTCTGTCATTCATCTGGGCCACAGATAGAAGGGTTCGGAGAACAATGTAAGATTTCAACTGTGAGCGCTCTAACACAAAACAGGACCATGCAACAAAGATGCTCAGACAGACAGAGTGCAGTAGGTATGTACTGTACTGCATCAGTCTCCAGGCCTCAGCACTGATTTAGCGAGACAATAACACTGACAGGAGGTCGTTTGTAGCGTCTACAGCTGCGATATTTCTTTCATCAGCCGCCGTCACACACATGGGAACAGCGGAGCAGGGCTCTCGATCGGCTACAACCTGATCGAGAAAGGAAAAAGGCCAAGTCGTTGTTGCGGACCTCACCCAAAGTTATCTGAAAGAGACTTGAACCATGAATGGACTTTTCAAAGATGGCTGGCAGGGCATGTGGATTAAGTTTGTCCTGCACCGGATGCAGTCCAAGGAATTCAGTGTGTGTGTGTGTGTGTGTGTGTGTGTGTGTGTGTCTCGTGGTAGGTGGGTGTGGGCGAGTGAGTCCGCTGTGTGTGTGGCGTGGTGGGCAAGGGGAAGAAGGGGTTGCCATGGCGATGTTAACACATGAGTGGCACCACCGACCGGTCTCCCAGTGGACAAGGCTGCAGTCATGGAGGCTGGGTCCGGTTGGTGGTGGTTGGTGTTGGGGGGGGGGGGGGGGGGGGGACGAGATGGCTGACAACACCTGCGTCTCAGACATTCAGACACTAATACGCACACAAACACACCCATGTAAAGAAAAAAACAAGAGCCCAGAGCGGAGACAGAGACCACACACCGAAGCCTCTGCGCATCTTCAGCTGGACAGGCGGTGAAGACGGCGTGGACTGGTGTGCCGTATTAGCGCTGTGCTAATGACCCTGATGACTCTGAATTGTTTTTCAGCACACGTAAGACTGGTGCCTGACACTTATTCATGCCGGCAAATGTACAGTGCCATTCACACACAAAGATGTCCCCAAACTAAAATCCTGTCTACCTTGCCTGTCAAAAAGAACAACACATCAGTCCACTCTGGCAGCATGATGGACGCAGGAGACACCCAGACACGCAGGAAAACAGACCAATTGCAGTTCGACAGTCAGCCGTCTAAAGGCTCCCAGCGCTGGATCACGTTTCCCTTATAAATGAGGCGCCATTGTTCCCAATCTCTTCTCTGTGCAAGACAGTAATTGCTCTCTGTCTCTGGCTTATATTTAGGTGTCCAGCTGATCCACTCACATGACGTTAATCTATTTAATGGACATTTGGCAGAAAATGTTCCCGCTAAACAGATTTTTTGATCATTCAAATGTATCTGTCAGGAGTTCCCCCCTCTCAGCCCCAACCCCCAGCGGGCACCAGGTCATTTTTTTTTTATTGGGCTGATTTCTGAAGCAGACTCTCAAGACAGTTACGGATCACTGTCAAAGCAAATTACAGGCAAAATAAATATTGTCATAAGTGGAAGAATTTATGCATTTTTTTTATTTTTTTTTAGCTCTTCTGCGACTGTCGCATCAAGAGACTCCTCGCCAGTTATTCAGTTCAAAGAAAGATTTTCAGAACATTGCAGGTGCTAAATGTTGCGGAGGTGAGGAGGGAGTGTGTGAGGAGTGTGTGGAGATGTGTGCCTACAAGGTGTCAGCGGGGAGGAATATTGAAACAGCACAGCCTGTCATCATCATCAGTCATCCTCTCACTTCATTCCCAGATGTCTGAGTTTTGTCTTCCTTTGTCCTTCTTCCTCCTCCAGCCTTCACATTCTCATTCATGTGACAGGCGGCACAACAAAAACACCAATCTCTGTTTGTTAATGTCAACTGTAGGTGACCCAACAATCTGGGAGTGTCTGAATCAGTGGACTGTTTTGAATTAAATTTTAATGTCTAGCAACCACTTTGCAGCCTCGCCTCCCTTTTCCGCTGGTAGCAGCTCGTTGTAGATTGGGCATGTTTTTCGTGTTGTAATATTGTAATTACTGCAGCAGTTTATGAGGTGATGAAAGGGAATACACACTGCTTTCTTTAAACTGGTTCGCCAAAATGGGAGCAGCACACTCAACTGTTTGCCATTTAAAAGTATAGAGAATATAATTAAATATTAATGAGATGTAAATATAATATTGTTATGGAAATGACAGTGTAAGAGCACATAAGGGAGCCCCTCCTGTAAATTTTAAAGCTGCTATTAAATCAGGCGGAACGTATAAACCCCATCAGAATTTAAACCTAGCTTAATCCCATTTGTTTTGAAACGCTTGTTTTTGAAAAGTTGAATGGTTCAAGCGTGGTGTTAGTTCACCGTACAAGGCCCCTCCGCTTACGCTGAGCGTGGGTGTTCAGAAGGCACTTCTGAGAGCTCTGCCACTTCCCCTCACTTCAGATACGACTCCCCTGGTCCGCTCAGATGAAAAGAGTCTGCTCCCCCTGTGCCACAGAGCCAGTGCCAGTGCGGGGACATACGACACACTGAGGACAGTGATCGTCTGAGCGTTGTCTACCTCCGCCGCTGAAACACAAGGCCTGGCTTTTCAGAGGGAACCATTCAATGGCTCCCTGTCTGGGAAGCCCTTGTCTTGTGTCTGATCGCACGTCTCGCTCGCCAGATAAAGCAGCCCATTCTTTTGATAGGTGACCTGATTCTTTATGTAACCTTTCTCAACTTTTGGCTTGTCTTGGGTTTACTCATTCAGGGAGCGGAGCTTCTGTACTAGGCCAGCGTCTGTCTCGTCGCAGATCAGCGTCCCCTCTGGGGGCTGCTACACCAGTCACAGCCCACCGCCGTGACCAAATTACCTTCTCCATCACTTTATTTTGTGAAACGTCCTGGCATACAGTGTGCTTTATGTGGGGCAAACAAAATGAATCACTTCACCACAGCTAAACTCAGCCTACGCAGATTTTTTACAAAGTTCTATAACATAGTGACATCTCTCACACAGATGTCTCAGATGTGCATGACTACATCCCTCTGTTGCGTGAAAGCTGACTTCTAAATCCCTCGTTCAGTGGAACAAACTCAATGAACGCTGTGTCCTCACCAGGGGTTAATCGAGTGTGCCGTCAGAGGATATCATGACCTCTCTGGCGGCAAAACATACAGCACATGCCCGCGTCTGGATGCAGTGAACCGGGATTACTGCATAAGATGCTGGTGACCTAGTTATGTTGTTGTTTGTTTGTTTTGTTTTGTTTTAGTTTTTTTCTGTCAGAAAGCAGCAGCCTTCAGTAGAAATGAAAAAGAGGTAGTTAGAAGGAGGACGTCACAGTCTGTCTGGGATCAGTGTGTACTGTTTGGGCAGTCATTTGAGGGTTTTAATTCTGGAACAGGTTCATCTTTTATTTACCATCCAGCCGGCCATGGCGAGCATGCACGTGGATGCAGTAAAATGAGAATCCGTGAAAGTGCTTTTCAGCAATGTGACAAAAAAATATATACATATGCTGCAAGTATCCAAAATCGGTTTCTTTGTAATGAACAAACTGCAGTGCATGATGTCGAGACTTGCTGGATTTCAGCAGAATGCTGGTTTTGGGCGGTATGGTAGTTACATTTCTGCAGCTGATGTTTTCCCCAGGATGATAAGCTGGCATGAGAAGGTAAAGCCTGAGTGATATGGATAGATGATGATAGGATGAGACTAGTTTTCAGCTGCATATCACACATCAATGCTTCTCCAGTCTCAGAGAGGAGACGAGAGTGATATACAGAGGCCGTGTGTGTGTGTGTGTGTGTGTGCGTGTGTGTGTGTGTGTGTGTGTGTGTGTGTGTCATAGGTTCACGCAGAGGGCAGAGGGTGCAGAGCTCCACTTTGATTTTTTTTCTCATCATTTGTTTTATATGTTTTGTACTTTCCAGTGTTAAAATAATAACTATTAAAACCAGCTGTATCACTAATGAAACGCTGACAAGAGTGTATCCATTGTCTTGTCCTACATACTTGGTTAAATATTTGTGGCTTTGTGAGAGAAGAGAGGCATGTTTTTTTTTTTGTACATAATGCAGAGAAGAAAGAGGAGACATGTTGAAGACTGCAAATACAATCCATATCCATCCTTATGACTGGAGTGTTATAGGAAGGGAAAGCCTTTGGATGTGGTTTGCTAACAGATTTGAGCACCCAGTGATCAGTGTATTGTGTTTGTATGCATGCGTGTGACGCCACGCTGCTTGTTGAACAAATGTAGGATGAGACGGTTTAAGTTTGCAGCTTGTAAATGGCTTCAGATGTGTTTGTAGTAACCTCCTCAGACTTTGTGGGAATTTTTCAGGTCCTTAACAGTACTGCTGTCAGCTGACTGCGAGGACACACACACACACACACACTCACACACACACACACACACATACACACACACACACACACACACACACACACACACACACACTAGTCACCTGATATCCCCTCTTGACACTACATTATGCAGGGAAGATACACTGCAACATTCAATGTAAAACACATGGCTCACATCCAAGTGTGGCAGTGACATACTCATTCTCACTGGCTAGTTCTTTAAACCTTCCTATGTCTGCTTTATAATACCAAATAAAGAGGAACAGAACAGCACCACGCAGTGCATGTAAAAAATGACAAAAATATATTAGATTTTTTTTTTTAAAAAAAGCTCCCGTACCCCTGTCAAAATACACATAATTTAAAATAATATGACCTATTCTTACAAGCAATGAGCATTAAATATTTCTGCAGACAAACACAAACCTGCGTGGATGTTTTTGCATATTTGTGGATGCTGCAGACAATTTGAAACAGCCGGTAAGGGTTAGATACATCCAGCACTTTCAATTTGGAGAGGTGAAGTGCATCCCACTCACAATCCCCAAGGTATAGTAGTCCGTGAATGATATTTATTTATTGATAATAACTGCTTCATGGAGGGAGGCAGGTGGCATCTGGCCACAAAGATACGAACACTGGTTCATATCCAGCGCATCACATTTTCTGTACATGGTCTTTACTTCAGCTTTAAACTTAGTGCTTCTTACATGTTTTGTTCTTATCACGAGGCTTTACTAAAAATAATTCTGTGGACACATGCCATCAATAATTAGAGGAGCCAAACCTATGGCAGCAGTGAAGGAAAACAACAAGTATCTCTGAGATTAGACTGTCATCTCTGGCTGTGTTGATTATTACGCTCTTTTTTCTGAATTCATAAAAAGTGACAGCTAGACAGAAGTCTGTAAATCCTAGTAAATAACCAGAACACTGGCAGGCTGCATTGATCGAAGGAGAGTGTGTGTGTGTGTGTGTGTGTGTGTGTGTGTGTGTGTGTGTGTGTGTGTGTGTGTGTGTGTGTGTGTGTGTGTGTGTGTGAGTGAGTGGAAGCCAAAATTATTATTTTTCTTATTGAAAAGCCTTTTTCTTTGTTCTCCTTGATATATTTAATGGTAACTATTTTTTTCAATATTTAGGAAATCAGTCAGTTGTAATTTTAAAATATTAATAATAATCTTGTTCATGAACCCTGATGCCACGTCTTTTAAATAATGTGCAGAGAATGAATAAGATCCACTTTACATCTCTCTGTACAGTACTTAATGTAACCTTAATTTAGATTAAAAGCATAAATTGTATGGCTTTTTTTTTAAAGAAAGAAAAGCCCTGGACTCTTTTACTTCGGTGCTGTAATTACTGATTAATACCACCTACACTGATCACACTGTATTTCCACCTACACCTATTACCCTGTGTGGGGCTATTTGCTTCCTCTGCATCCTGCTTACAGGAATATGTCATGTATAAATATTTCATGTTTTAAATTTTGAAATATACACAATAATTGTATTTGCATGATGTTCAGGATGAATGATTAAAATATTTTTATTTTTCAGTTTATACCCCTATGTTTTCCATCTACTAACTGTGTCATTTCTTTTTCTGTAATTACTAAATTAAATATGAGCTGAGTCACATCTCTCCCTTTTTTTTCTCTCTCTTTCCTCGCAGGTTCCCAGGGAGCTGTTAAACTTGTCCATGTGACAGGAGTCCTGAAGTGGCAGAAGGCATGAAGCAACACTGTGATATCATAGTGGCTGGTCCATGACACGAAACTCCATTCAACCCACTCCACTATCCACCCGCCCTCTGTTCTCATCATACCGGACAACCAATCACTCACTCTCCCATCTACACAAAGCTGCACAATGGCCAGCAAGAGGAAATCCACTGTACCCTGCATGATACCATCCAAATCCAAACATGTGCGTGAGGAAATCATACTGGGCTCACTACCAGAACTCCTACCAACAATCCCAGAAGATAGCATACTCAGCATCTCGGGAGAAGAGTCTGGCCATTTCTCTCACAGTTCCTCCAAATCTGACAGTGGCAGCGAGGTGCAAAAAGGAGGTACATACAGCTGTTCGACTTGCCGTTTCGAATCCAGAGATCTAAACTACTTTTTGGATCACATGCACAACTGCCACTTAGACTTCAGGGCCCAGCCCACCTTCTACTGCCTGAACTGTGGGGTGTCAGTCGTCCGCTTTGAGGCTCTGGCTCTGCATAACGCCAACGCCCACCCTAAGATAATGGAGGGCTTGGTCACTGCCTCCCTAACTGTCAACAAGAGGGATAGAGTAACAACTGTGGAACAAAGTCTGTTCACGGACAGTGGAGAAGACTACAGAGAATCTGGGATTTCCCTTACCAAAACACCGATTGCAAAGATGATGAAAACCAAGGGGGAGCACAAAAAGATTGTGGTTTCTCACACCGTGGAGGTACGGAAGATAGACACTGGAAAGGATGTAGACCCCAGCATGCTGACAAATGTGCCTGAACTCCAAAACGGGGCTCTCAGTGTTTCTGGCGCCCCAGCTATGCCGAGGACCACTGTTACTCATGTGATTACAACGACAGTGTCCAACCAAGTCTTTCACCAGCACACTCCCTCCCTTTACTCTCCCTCTTCCTGCAACTCTAATAAAGACCTTCCAAAGGTGATGATCCCTCTCAGCAGCATCCCCACGTATGATGCTGCTATGGACACCAGCAGCTTTCTCAAGACATCCTTTGGCAAGTTCCCCTACCCGACCAAAGCCGAACTCTGCTACCTAACAGTGGTCTCAGAGTTCCCTGAAGAGCAGATCAAACTGTGGTTTACTGCCCAAAGGCTCAAGCAGGGCATAAGCTGGTCTCCTGAAGAGATCGAAGAGGCCAGGAGGAAGATGTTCAACACTGTGTTCCAAGGTGGAGCACCTCAAAAGCAGCCCACTACACCACGGCACGTCAATCATGTTGTAACCCACCACACTGTCACTGCCCAGCCGGGCTCAAAAGGACCAAACTTTCATATGGCCAAAGTTCCCTATGGCAGTATAAAAACCAGGTCTGTCGGAGTCATAGCCTCGCAGGCCAGCATGTCAACCAACCCCCATGTCACCAGGGTCTCGTATTCTACTCCAATTGTCCCCCCAAAGTTTCCATCCATAGTCAGAACAACACAGGTACTGACCAAGAATACTCAACCCACTGTGGAGCCGGATAAGAGCAATGGCCTCGGCCTGGACATGGCTGGAAACAGTGGTTGTGTCAGTAGCACCAGCAGCAGTCGAAGCAGCAGTAGCAGCAGTAGCAGCAGTAGTTGCAGTAGTAGCAGCAGCATCAGCAGCTATTCCAGCAGTAGTAATGGTGGTGAGACTGTCACCAGGAAACCGGTGCAAAACAGCTGCCCCACAAACAGCATCAACAGCATTGCCACTTGCTCTACCAACATTAGCAATAATGATGAGCACTGTGTTGCTGACACCAACGGCAAACCAAATCTCAAAAGCAACAGTTTACCAATCAGATTGGAAGGTTCAAACAGTACCAAGAGTCAAGTGATCATCGATAACACCAGCAAATCCAACATCACCTGTAACAATCACAACAGCGGCATCATCAGTCCACAGGAACAGGCCCATGCCACAAAGCCCGATGACGAGCGCAACAACTATATCCACAAGCCCAACAACAGTAGTATTAGCAGTGAATACCCCAGTACTACCTGTAATGACAGCGTCCCTAACCTGAACCATGCCAGCAAATCCCCAACTGAAAGCACCAGCACCGCTGTCATTACAAAAAGCAGCTCGTCCATTTTGGATGAGGGTAAATGCAACAAGGACTTACCCATAAAAGGCATGTCAATCCTAAAGCAACTCATTAAGGAGGAGGACCCATTTGCCGGGGACAGAGGCTGCCCAGAGCTGAAAGTTGACCCCATCAAGATCAACTTTAAGAGGCTGAAGATGAATGAAACAGAGACTACATCTGAGATTGTACATCAAGAACACAAGTCTGAGGTAGGCGAAGTGTCTGCTTCTCAGCCATCTTTCTCCCCCCCATGGGGCAACAAGACCCCCCAGCAGCTGCACATCCTCCGACAGGTTTTCTCCAACACCCGTTGGCCCAGCAGTCAGCAGTACGAGGACCTAAGTGTCCAGACAGGCCTTCCCAAATCAGAGGTGGTGCGCTGGTTCAGCGACAGCCGATACAGCCACAAGAACGGGCAGCTGAAGTGGCTGGAGACCTATCAGCGATCGCCAACGGAGTCAGAGGAAGCAAGGGGCCACGGAGACACCGAGGCGGAGTCACCGAAAGACCCTCAAGTGGCCAAAAAGAAACTTGCTGAGCAAGACATGAACAAGCACCTTGAAGGAGAAGCAGGACTGAACACAGGGCAGCGGGTTGTGTGGCAGGATACATACTCACCGCTGCTCGGCCTGATGGGGTCCGAGGGGAGCAGCGAGCGAGGCCAAGCTGAGGAGTCTGCGCAGCCAGGAGTCCTGCAGGATCCCTGGTCAGAAGGAGCAGAGGACCATCAGCAGCCAGTGGCCAGTCAGTCACTCATTGAACAACAGACTGATGCCAATCAGGCCAGGTACTACAGTCATTCTGTTTGAATTACACAGTGTGATAAAAGCTACTGAAGTAAGATACACTTCTCATTCAAGTGCCTTGTGATATTTTACAGGCTTAGTGCTATTTATCAATCAGGGAAACGAAAACAATGTGAGCCAGGTGGAGTGATGAAAGCATGACAGCTTGTTGTTTGTAGTGGTTGCTGCGTGATGTACAGTAAAAAGGAGGCAGGGGGAGTGTGTACAGGTACTCATGCTGAGTAGCTTATTCAGGCAATCAAAGGTCTGTGTTTAAGAAGCTATTTTTAGATAAGCAGGAGTCTGGGCCGTTGAATTATAGATTGAGAGCGCATGCTAATATATGTGAATAAATCATGACAATTGTCTTTGGTGAGATGGATTTCCGGGAGGCAAGTTAACCCATACGCAGGCATCATTTTACAATGCTCCCGCCTAAAGAAGTACCTCACTTACAATACAACAGTAATACAATACAACAGGAACTTTCCAATCACATCCTCATGATTTGTGCATATTGCATTTGCCTGTTTGTGTGTGTTGCTGATAGGGATCGCCTGAGGATGGAGCTGCTGGAGGTGTGATGAAGCGGGCCCCAATCTCGCCAGAGGAACATCATGTTTAAAGGCTGGATTGCTCCCCTGGCCGTGGTCTAAAAAAAAAAAAAAAGAGTGTTCATAATGACAGCAGATGTGATTGTAGCTGGACCGATGGACTCTGACTGGTAACTGAGAATAACCCCCCACCCCCCCCCCTCCTCCTCCTCCTCCTCCTCCTCCTTCTCCTCCTCTTCCATCTGCCATCACTTCCTGCCATCGTCAAAAGAAAGAACTTCTCACCTTTGAGTTCTGTGATGTTTAAGCCTTTCATGCTTCTTTGTGGTTGTGTGGGGAGGGTGCACAATGAGGTCAGTACGAGGGATCAAAGAAAAGAAAGAGAAAAGACGCACACTGACTGGAAAACTGACTTGAATGAGCGAAGACAGGATAGGATAGGGCCGAAAGATATTGTTTTTGGGTCAGAGGGAGAAATATATATATATATGATTGAAACTGCACTATAAAAGAGGGTTTGTACTGACTGGACAAACAAAAGATGTGTCAAGGAAATGTTATTGTTGGCTTTGTGATATTTTTTACTTTTTTAGCAACCAGTACTTCAGCACTGCCTTGAATTTTACTTTTTCCGTTATTTGGTTTTTCAATTCTATTTACTCTTCTATAGTCACTGTAAGTCCAGATGCAATCAAACATGTTTTATTTAGATCTGTATAAATGTTGGTGATCACTTTGCAGTTCAGCTACACGCAAGAGACTATATACAATGCACTAATGAAGACAGCAATGCTAAAAATCACACTGCCCCACATTAAAGGTATTGACAGTTCTGTCAAGATCAATACACTACACTGCCCTGCAAACTGAACAGAGAGAAGCCTGTCACGCTAACGTTGCCTTACTCAGCTCTGTCCATGTGTTTATATGACCTGTCTGTCCATCACCTTGCTTTCCAGCTACTGTGCTGTCCTGAAAAAAGAAAAAAAAAACATGCCAGTGCATCGATGGTCACTGTTGGTCTATATCTGTGAAAAAAAACTTGTGCTGCTTTCTGTATACACTTGGAGTTTAACTTTAAGCTGTAATTGTATCAAATATTGTTACTGGCAAAATGTTGTTTAAAGCAAAATTATCAATTTGATCCCTAGACAATGACAGAGTGAGATATCGTGCTAGCTAGAGAGCCAAATGAGGAGATCTTTGCTCTTCTCTGAATTTTCTTGTGTTTATATAAACATACAGTCACTACATGAATCCTATTAAGCTGCATCTTTGTCAAGCTGCTAATAGCTAAGAACGGTGCTATACCATCCAAAGTGAAATTGGAGGTTGATCTCCTACCAGCAGTGTATGCACTTGTGTCGAATGTTACAAATTTATTTTGGTTTGAGATAAATGGAATCTGGACTTACGGTGTTATGATCACTTAAAAAACTTTTATGAAATAGTCTGATCATAAAGCACTGTTGTATCATCCTTTCTACACTTCTGAATCTTTACAGAATAAACTGAATACTCACCAAGCACCAATGTCTCATTATTTGCTCAGCACCTTGCACCAGGAGTGAATATGAATTGTTCCATGGATACCAGTCAAATTATTCAGTGTGATGAATGTGAAAGTAAAAAGCACTGGGACTGGAGAAATGCATACAGCCTCACCTGCTGGTGAGAAGCTGACAGTACAGCTAGTGCTGAGAGCTTATTTACCAAGGAAATTTTAGTCTGTTTTCATGGCAAGCCATCCTTGCAAAATAACATTTATTTTGTCTACACGGTGTATCGAGGTATTTAGTCCTAGGTATGTATACAGATGGCGGTGAGCTTTGAATTCAATGGCAAATCTGTGTCATGGGCAAAGAAAGGGGCACAAGTCTTCCAGATGTTGCCAGAGAAATGAAATCCAAGGGAAAACTTGAGGAAGAGAACATCACAGGAAAGTACAAGGTTTTACCGAGTCCAGTCACACCACAATTCATTTTCCAACGGGGGATGCAAAATACTCTGAGGGCTCTTTAATTTAGAAGATTAAAATTTATTAAAGTTCTTGGAACAGTTTTTACATTTAATAAGGTTCAATATGATGTGCTGCAGGCTGGGAATTTTCAAAGTCTGAGCTTGTCTCAAGATAAGAAGTGATCAAATGTGTTTGACAAAGCAAGTATGAGAACGGTGCAAATATGGCAAGACCTGCACCAAGGCTGCTAGTCCAAAACCAATAGGCAGCTGTGCTACTTGGGGCCTCTGCTCAGGAAGAAGGGCCTTGAAACACTTGTCAGAATCATGTTTCCTAAAATATTCAGAAGTAAGCCATGAGGAACTAATGGAATAAAAAAATAAATAAAATAAATCACAAATTCACAGGACATTTACTTGTAGGGTTTTATTCATTTTTGAACCTACAATGAGCATAAAACTCAATAAAACATGATCAAAGGCTATGACAAAAAATAAAAGGTAAAACAGGAATAGGATGTTGACTTTACAGCTACTTACATCAACTTTCCTATCATAAGAGTGGAACAGAGTGGAATAAAATGAACTGATAATTCACATTAAATGTTACATTACTTTATCCTCAACCTTTACACAATTAAAAAAAAAAAAAAACTGCTTAAATTGTAACAGATTGGTGATTTTTTTTGGCAAAGTTCATGTCCCTCACATACCCTTCTGGAAGAAAAACACTTTCAATTTACTGACTTTAAATACATTATTATAGCATCATCTTCAAGTAACAGATACGCAAGTTTTTTTTTGTCTTGGAACAATTGTTAAATTAAGTTAAAATCAGATGTAGACAGGACTATGCAGAGCGATTCAGAGGATGCTTGCAACTCAAAGGATACAAATGATTGTTCACATTTACACTGAAAAAGAAGTCCCTGATAGAGGATGTAAAACAAAATATTCACATTCTGCTTGCTTAAGTAAATATTGACATGGTTGCAGTATTTTCCCCTTTGCCTGCCCAGACATCCTCTTTCATGCTGAACAATTCAACATAGTCCAGTTTAAAATATTCACCTAAACAGACAGCTTCCATGGTCGAGCCCCTCAGACACACATGCACACGCACACACACACACAAACACACCTCAAAAGTCAAGCTCACATTTCCTTGAAAGGCGCGTGGGTGTATTTAAGGAATTCATTTGATTTAACTTTATCTATCAAAATATAGAATTCATTAATAATACATGGGAGGGCTAAAATACAGAGCGAGTGAACAAAGAAAATGATACAAAGCATTTTTTGTTTTTGCTTAATACAGTAGCTATAGGACCACAGAGTTCAAAGTTCAGGCATTGTTGGGTTTTGCCCCAAGGAGGGAGAGAGACAAAGGTAAGAGGGTCTTCCAATTACTGGGACTATGCCTTGATGCTCAGTTGTGGGTATAGTTCAGCCTTGTTGTCTGTCTCAGATCAGATGTTTAGAGTACCCCCAACACCCTCCTGCCACTTCATCATGGCCTCCGCACCTCGACTTACCATGTCACCGCTGTTTTTCTGCTCAGACTCTCAAATTCCTTGCCAGGTCTGGCCATGGAGCAAAATTCAGTTAAGCTAAAAAACAAGTATCCAATAAAAAAAAAAAAAAAAAATGAGTGTATCATAGTTAAAACCACAAACAGGGATTTAAAATTCAAAGTCGTCATCTGCCATGTCGATGGCCCAGGCAAACTTCTCACGCTGGGTTTTGTTGTAGATCTTTTCAACGGGAATGCCCCACTTCTTACACCTAGGAGACAAAAATTAAGATGGAGGAAAAAAAAAAAAAATTACTTGTGCATTCTTGTCCCCAACAAGAGGAAAAAAAAGAAAAAAAAAAAGAAAAATGCTGGCTGGCACAGTCAACAGTGATGCTTAAACAACAAACTTCAGAATATTATCGTACCAAGCCACAGAGATGCGAGGGTCCAGATAGTTGAGCTTGGAGGTACCAAGGGCAATTTGCTTGTTCTCTTCACGATCGGTCGCCTGCACCTCCAGCTTCATCAGCTGCTCCTCTATCCTCTGAACGGCCTTCTTCTTTGTCTCCACAGTCCTTCAGAGAAGACAAGAAGCACAAATTGTTAAACACTTGTTAGCAAGACTGACAAGGGAGAAACTGTTTATCTATACCAAATCCTTTGATACTCACTTTTTGGATTTTTCATCTTTCCGTACTTTGGCATCAGCCTTGGCGCTCTTCAGTTCTCTCTTGGCATCAGAAAGCTGGTCCCTTTTAGCATCAATCTAAGGAGAAAAAAAAAGTGATTTGTCTCAGATAAGTACAATAATTAGTGTTTGTACACTGACAGCAACATGATAATTGCCTAACATTCAATAGGATCTTGATCATCAAGTGATTTTAATATTTTCAATACCACTTTTGGCTAAATTCAAGGATTCAAAACCGACAAGGCAGTATTTGACATGAAAAGTTGAGAACTCATTAAAACACTAAAATCAATGTTAATACCCATCAAGCTCTAGCAAGACAAATGGACTATCTGAATGTTTTTCCCACTTACACTCTAATAATATGCTAAAATTACATTTTACTTTGCTTAAATACATTGCAACCAGATCTCTATTTGTTGCAGTGTGTTTAATTGTATTTATGCTATTGTAATGCAGAAAACCATTTACCAATTTCCTTTCAAGCACATCATCGTCATAGTGCATGAAACATAACAGCGAACAAGATTCAAGCATTGGGGGGGATATAAAATTGAATTTGAAATCATGGCAAACATGTTACTGACAATTCAAGGGCAAAGTTTAAATGAAATTTGATGTCAACACCAGGACAAGTGTGAAGATGGCATTTCAATAAAACCTACAAATGAAATGTCAGATGTAAAATGATGTCCATCTCGGTTTGAGTAAAAAAACAAACAAAAAAAAAACAAAAAACGGTATTCAAAATTCACATCCTCACCTTAGTCTGCAGGTTCTGCATAGACTTCTCAAATGTCTTCGGTGGAGCTCTCTGATGGTTACACAGGATGGCCACAGCCCTGTTGGCCCTGTTGTAGGACAAGATCTTGGCTGGAATGTTCTCCTCCGCTAGAGAGTCAGAGAGTGTAATTAGTTGTCTGTATGCAAAATGACTGAACATGACTAGGTCAAAACCCAGTGCATGGCTGGACTGGGTATGGTCAAAGTGTGAAACTGAGGGCGTATTTTGAAAAGTGCTGTG